TCATTGTTATAAGCCACCTTGGGTCCTTTTTAAAGGAGAAAAGCAGGATGAAAATATTTTAAATAAATTAAATAAAAATACTATACAGTGGGCCATGAATATTACCTGTGGCATTGGATTAAATAAAAATAGTATATAGTGGGCCATGAATATTACCTGTGGCATTGAGAGCAGAAAGCTTCAATCCATCTAAATCAGAGGATCTACAGGCCCATCTCTAGCATAACGTTAGGGATTTCTTTCTACCTGACTGTCCGGTGCTGTCTGGTTCCAGAACCAGCAGACCAGAAGACCACAAATCCTTGCTAATGTTTTTCAGGGTGTACTACAGCAATTTTTTAAAATCGAGAATACCTTTTTCAAAATGAACTTACAAAAATAGTTGTAGTATCAGAAGTAGTAATAGTAATATGGCCAGTGCTGACCTGATACTTTACAACAACCATATATACATTGTAAGTGTGTTGTCCACAGTCCTGCTCTTTCCAGGACTCTTTGATGGAACAAGAGGACACATTTTGATGCCCAGATCGCCTTTTTTGCAGACACTCCAATCTGACCTCTGTCTAAGTCTGTGTTTCTAGTCTGTCTAGAAAACCACATTCCCATCAATGAGAAAATGTAAAAGGCAAAGCCAGGAGCAGGCAAGGCAGAAGTGCTCAGCCAGTGACAGTTTGCAGACCTAGATGCTTTATTTTAGTTGCATTGTTATCCCCCCCTTCCCCCCCACCAACTACTAGGAAATTGTCTCATTGGCTTCCTAAGGGAAGGGACTGAATTAGAGACTTTAAAGGGGCAAAGACAAAGCTGTTTTTAATTCCTTCTTAAGAGGGCAATGATGAAAACCTATGCACCTCTATACCTGCTGTCCTTTCTCTCTCCACCCCAGCACATCCTTCTTCCTCCTTTAATCTGAAATTAGTCCTGCTCTGACCACAATGTAGTCTTTGATGACTCAGTGAATGATTTTGTATCAGGAAAGGTAAGGAAGATTCATTTCTAAGACAAAGAGCATATTCTCCTTCTCTTTTGCCACCAACTCAAAGTCTTCCTGAGTTTTTCTGTGGCTTTCTCAATTTCTAACTGCAACTTGTGTGCCACTCTAACCCATTAATGCCCCTGGGCTCTGCTCTGTGGTTGCCTCAGAAACACATAAATGCCTCAAATTGGTCCATTTTTACACATTTGTCAGAAGACAGCACATATCCATGGTGCAGGGTACAACTGATTTATAAATTCTGCTGCGTATCATAAATTCAAAGAATGTCTTAAAATGTTTCTCAGCATTTTCTCTTCTTCTTGACCCCCTATGATGAACTCTGCTGCTTTCTGAAAAATATTTATAGCATCTGACTACTAAGTTTCATCCTTAACTATCAGTGATAGATTTAGAATGCAGCCCACTAGAAAAGTGCTTAGTTTTATGTCAGTCTTTCGGCAGCTGCCCAATAAAATGTAGTGCCAGCAAACATATTGGAACAAATGAGCCATGTTTGAGGTATTCAGCTTCCTTATGGTTTTCCTTAACATACCTCACAAATCCCTCTGGAACAGTAGCTCTTTTGATTCGCTCTTTGATGTGGAATTATTGCATAACTATTTTGGAAAGTTAACAGCTTTTCCTGTAATGAGGTGATGACCCCCTCCATTTGTCCACCCATCATTACATGGTCTTTGGGTTTGTAAAGAATGGCCGGGAAGACATCAACAATTCCCTGTCATCCGTATGCTGTGCAGGAACTATATGAGAAGATCTTGTCAGTATATTCTGAGGACCTTCAAATATTCCTGCTTGGGATGAAGGAGTAGACGGCCATAGTGAATGGCATTGCAGAGAGAAACGTTATTCATGAGGCATTCATCGAGGAATGGCCCAAGATACTCTATTTCTGGAGAGGAACAGCAAATATAACCCTGTCCCTGTAAACAAGGTGTATGGTACGTTGGCCAACCCATGCTACTTAGGCACCTGGGTGAGAAATATATATCTTGCCTCCGTAGCACAGCAAAAAGTGCAATTGTCATAAATTAATAACCATGAATAAGCATGGTACCTTGGCCAACCCATTCTACTTAGGCACCTGGGTGAGAAATGCCACATATATCTTGCCTCCGTAGGACAGCAAAAAGTGTAATTGTCATAAATTAATAACCATGAATAAGAATAAGAAATTAATAACAATTGCTACCTTTTCATGACACCAAAAAATAGACAGCCTGAAGCAACTAGATCCCTCTGTCTAATGGTGCAGTCAATACTTTCCTCATGGGCTGAAAACAAGGAGAAGCAATGTTGAATCAGAAGAAAGCCCTGTCCAGTTCAGTCTCGTGGGCTGAAGCCATGCTGAATCAGAAGAAAGCCCTGTCCAGTTCAGTATGATGTCCATGCCACAGTTAAGCATTTGTTGATTGCCTACATAACAGGATGTGAATGCAAGCTAAGCCTCTTATACCTTCTCACCAGCAATGGGTATTCAGAGGTATATTGCTCTTCGTATTGGAAAGAATAAATATCTATTATAAATTGGTTGCTACCGCTACATCTGCAACTAGCACCATTTGTGAAGAAGTGCTTTCTTTTATTTTTACTGAATCTTCCACCATCCAGATTCTCCAAACCATTCATCACTTTATAGATCTCTATCATGTCTCAACTTACCTTTTCCCCCAAGCTAAATAAAATCATACGTGTTGTAGCGTTTCCTCATAGGGAAGTAGTTACAGCCCTTTTATCACTTTGTTTGCCCTTTTCTGCACATAATCCCAGTCTGCTTCATTTATTTAATGTTCTGTTAAGACAACCACTAACCAGAATTCTCCAGGCAATGTTTTAGATTATCCTCGTTCAGGTTCAAAGGCCAGAACTGCGCATACCATTCAAAAAAAATATTCTGTAACCTCACTCATGGGGGGGGGGGAGTCCTCATCTTTTCTTTCTTTTGAGAACCATCATTGAATTGTAAACAGTAGACAGATATGTTCCACATACTGCACGGATGAGCAACCTTTGTGGGCCCAGGGCCCAGTTATCTGCCCTGGATTAACCAAAGATACACAAACCATCCAAAATGTCAATAAAACTAGCATGGTAGGATGTCCACTTCCAGTTTGGAAATATGAGTATTTTTTTTCCATGTTAATTTGAGCGAGGGGTCTATTGAGAAGTTGAATTCCCACTTCTAGAGGCTTCCAAGAGCTATAATTTTCTTTCTTTCTTTCTTTCTTTCTTTCTTTCTTTCTTTCTTTCTTTCTTTCTTTCTTTCTTGTTGGAAAAAGTGTAAAGCTAGGAGGCAAAAAAGCAGCCAGGGGGGTGTACCGGGAGCCCTAGAATTACATTTTTTCCATTTCTACAGTAATGAATTTTTCATTCAGCCATGAACTTGATAAATAAGAATATACCAATCATTGTGACTGCAACAAGATCACAAGATCATGTTATTATTATCTGCTCTGCCCCCCAATTCCAACCTCTTGGCAGTTGAGTTACAAATAAAATACCATTGGTGGTTAAGATTGGGAATGAGACCAACATTAAAGCAAAAGAGAGAAAGCTAGGAAGTTTTAGCCACAAGACTCACAAAAGAAGCTGCCCTCCCCTCAAAGTATCAGGCTGATAACCTGAGATGGCACCTCAACCCTGAATAATTACACCAAAATTTAGACTACTGTACTCCTTGTGTCTTCCTTCACATTGTTTTTCTTAAAGGGCCCAGCACAAAATGCTTCTATAACTTTTAACATGTTGCTCTGTATGGTAGCTCTGAATATTAATCATACACATACAGCATATGCCAATAAACATTCACTATGCGCCTAATTTGATTTAACTCTAATGATGCGCAGTACTGATTTAAACAAGCTGTTCCATTGAGCTTAACTGGACCGCTTCATGAATAAGTGCCATTCAATCAAAGTAGAGCATGCAAAATTCCACCACCCCCCCTCCCAAGGTAGGCTTTTAATAGGCAAGTTTGTATTTGTACATTTTCTGACATGCATGAAAGGATTGTGGAATATTTGAACTCACACACTGAAGTTTGTTGCAAAATGATTTTGAAAATATTATTTTGCAGACTGCCAGCGTTTATTTTGGCACCAGCCACATGGGGCGTTTCTTAAATGTTTCCATTTGGCATCTGCTCAGTGCTACTTACACATTAAAGATTAACAAGGCACATTTCATCAAATCCCTCCTATTGCAACTTGATCCTATAGCATGAAGGATTCTTTGCTTACATTTAACAAAGGTGAAGCCCCCAAGGCATAAGATAAGCAACTGAGATGGAAAACTATGATCACATTTCTAAACTTGGAATTGCTCATATGAAGTGACTGGAAGAAACAGTCACAATAATTCCTGTGTAGTTTTTTTTGGGGGGGGGATTAGTGGAGTTTCCTTCAAAGAATCAAATTTAAAAAAATTGGATTAGTGGGCATATTCTCCTTCATACACTGAGTTCTTCAAATACTGTACAAAATATATTTTCCATGTTTTCCTATGGTCATTCAAGTAAAAACAACACTTTAGGTCAAACAGGTTTCGTAGAAGCCTACAGTTTGCACAGGAAAGTCACGTAACTGTCCCACTGTCAGTCATGTTTTTGAGGAACAACTTCCGCAGCAAACTTTGAACCCTCTCTTGAGCACCACGAGGTGGAATTATTCTGAGGTGAATTCTACTTGTCCCAGATAGTCCATTCAAAGTGTGTCTTTAACATGTCTCGGAAGATTTCATGTGCCTATCAGTCACTATAATGGAACTGTGAGAAAGGTAACATTAGCATTTCATGCGGCACATTGACTGGCTCAGATCATCTGTCTATTTACCAAGATTGGCTCGTAACTTCTCCCCAAATCTCAAGATTCAGTCACAAGCATTAATAGTTCGTTTCAGCACTGCGATACATAAAAAAAATCCCAACAACCCAAATACATTTTCATAGTAAGATTTTAAATCAAGCAACAAAAAAGAAAAAAAATGGCAAGAACTTGGTGCTTACCTACCACGCAAAGCTGAGGGCAAGAAGGTCAGGGCTCTCATTTGGCCAAATTCAGCATTTTCACTTTCACTCTGACGGCTGAGGGAGGAGGCAAGGTGGGGGTGAGAGGGGAGGGCGAAGGAAGGTCTGAAGTCCTCAGATCTTCCTTCACAGTTTTAATCATTCACTTCCCAGCTTAACAAATACCACTGTGTTCTGTCAATATTTGTATGCAGCTCCACAGAGGGCGAGCAGCCAAACGCACATGGTTTAAAGAGCCAAGAGCAGAAAACTGACACCCGAACAAACACTCCCTGCTTTGTCTCTCTTAAGGTGGTGCTGAATATATGTCATCTTAGCTTCTGACTGCAGATAGTTGCCCCTCGAAAGGTTCCACTACTTTTTTTGGGGGGGGGAGATTAACAGCCGTTGTATTACTCCACATGATCTTGTTTTGCAAACTTAGTGACTTTTGTCCTGGTGAGTTTTTCCCCCCAATAAAGTTGCATACTATTCTGCTTTCTTTCTTTCTTTCTTTCTTTCTTTCTTTCTTTCTTTCTTTCTTTCTTTCTTTCTTTCTTTCTTTCTTTCTTTCTTTCTTTCTTTCTTTCTTTCTATTTTGTTCTGTTCTGTTTTGTGTTTTTGTTTGAAGCAGCTGTCCTTTAAATGTATTTTAATTGGCTGGAATGTAGAAAGAATCTCATTTGGCAGTAATTTGCATTTGAAGCACGCCCCTCAGCAGCTGAAATAGGTCCCAGAAGCTCTCGGCTACGGCATCAAAAGAGATGGCCAGAATATCATTGGCTCCCACAATAGCAGCACTGAACATGACTATATAGACAGAAAGATGTTGTTCAAAGTTTTTCAGAAATTTTTTTAACTAATCTGAAAGCAATGGAAGAAAATAGTTATAACCTGGCTGCAAATCTATTAAAATGACTATAACCTTTGTGTTAATTTTCTTCAGACACTTCAGAACGAAAATAAATCTGTATTTATTGCATAATGAAAGTAACACTACTTGTTCTTGCTTATTTTGATCTTTCCTCTGGATTTACTCTTTGTGTTCCTCTCTTGTTTCCTCTTTGGGGCATGCATTGGCTGTATTTTAATTTTTCGTTTTTAATCTGAAGTGTTCTTTAAAAGTCTCGTGCAATTAAGCAGCACAATTGTGGTTCAATAAAAGTACAGTAGTTCTCAAAAACTGCATTTTCACGTTTTTATTTATATTGCTGCTTAAAAAATCATTTCTAAGACTGGGTGAGCAACGAAACAATAAGTCAATCCTATTTAATTGAGCAAAACTTATGTCTGAAAAAATGTACATTGTATTCCACAAACAATAATGTATTCAGTTTAATGTATTCTCTACGGCCAGGATCTGATGGTTGTTGTGGGTTTTTCAGGCTCTTTTGCCATGTTTTGAAGGTTGTTCTTCCTAACGTTTCACCAGTCTCTGCGGCCAGCATCTTCAGAGGACTGGCGTTAGAACTCTGTTCTCTGGTCCTCTGTGCTACTCCTGTCCTCGGAAGATGCCGGCCATGGAGACTGGCGAAACGTCAGGAAGAACAACCTTCAGAACACGGCAAAAGAGCCTGAAAAACCCACAACTATTCAGTTTAATCTTAGGTATATTTGCTCACAGTTTAGTCCCAATTAATTCAGTCCCAGTAATTTGTAGGTAAGCACACACATTTACAGTAGTGTATTTAACATGGGCTGAGAAACCAGTGGCCCTACAGATATTGCTGAACATCAACTCTGAGCAACCCTCACTACTGGCTGTGCTGGCTGGGGCTAATGAGAATAGCAATCCCTCCCACCATATGTTCCCCACTGCTTATTTAACAAGTAGTGCTGATGCATAACTGTAAAAAAGTTAGGCTTGCAAAAGTATATGTGACAAGATATAGTAAGAATGTATACCAAGGTGGGCAAGTACAATACTCCAGACATCTTTGGACTGCATCTCCCAGCAGCTTCATCCACTGTAGCTGAACATAACAAATACTTGCAGTTAATCAGTAAGAACATCTGGAGACAAGTTTGTCCACCAATGTACATTCCCATTGTAAAAGTACTCTGGATACATAATGCAATAATGAAGCAGCTAGGGTCTATCCAAATATGTAGTCAAAATCAAGCTGTGGTAATCCTGTTTATTCCAATGGGAGAATTATGTGGGTGGTTTTGCTGCCCTCTACTTAATTTTGTGGGAATTAGATGTGCTTCAGTTTGGTCTGGATTGTGCCCTGGGAAAACAGCAAAATGAACAAATCTTGATTTAAATCTGTGCTATACAGAGGCATTTCTATATAAAGTCATAACTCCTGGGAACACCACTGTGTTGTTGTTGATGATGGTATGGTGGTAGTTTTTCTAATGCAAGAGGAAGCCTATGACATTTAATTTTCAGAGGTTTCCCCTGTTATTATTATCATAATAATCAACAGCTTATTGAGAAGAAAGAAAGTGCTAAAGAAAGGGAGATTTTTCATTGGCTGAAGTACAACACAACCTGTTTTCCATAAATATACACTGACAGTCTCATGCAGAAATTCTAACATTTGCCAGGTGCAGAAAAATGTGGCTCTTAAGGATTACTGTGTTGAAAGTAACATTATATAGACAGAACCCCACACTTAATTATCAAAGAACTGCATGATTTAACAAGTTGGCTGAATACAAGCCTTTTAAAACTTATGCTCTAGAGCCTTACATTTCTAAGCATTCCATGTGCAATCCCTTTTTGTGCTAACTCTTCGAAAATTTGGCATTCTAATTATGGCCAGGGACTGTCCGAAGACATACAGCTTCCACTGGGTTGCAGATCTGACACTCTGGTGGATTTATCACTATGTTATTCTCATAGTTCTAATTCTCAACCTACACTTCCAGTTCTCCTGGTCTCAGTGAAACTAGAAATGTATAGACAGAGTGCACTAATTATTTGCAAGCTGAACTGGATCACGTGAGCCACCTCTCTTTCTGGAAGCAAGCTGTCTTTTCAGTCCTCAGATCCTCATGCCCTACTGTCTCTATTCCCTTTTGCCAACCAGTATTCTTACCAGTGTAACAACTGTGTAGTATGAACAGATTATAAAAAAAAAAAATCAAAGATCTGGACAAATATTTTTTTTCTTATCAAAGAAATAGAAAAAAAATCTCTTTGCCATACGTCTGAAAAGCAAAAGACGCAAGAAGAAGCCACATGTATCCCTATGGGCAGAGCAGTCCTGTTTTCTATTGCCTCTGGTCCCTTCAAAAGCTCATTGGGATAAATCCAATATTTCTCCCCACTAGAGTTGTCAATATTGCAAAATTGTACAATAGAGAAACAGAAAACATGCAAGCCAGACGTCCCACACACTCACTTGATGGGGGTGACTGTCAAAGTTTGATTTTTCATATCAATGAAGTATTAAATGATTAAGGGTATAAGAACTGTAGCCCTGGAAATTTGAAGTGTAATTATAACATGGAGGTTTGAACAGTAATGGACAGCTTGATAGGGGTTATTTCAGGACAGAAAGATATAACCTTATGGGAAAATTTGGAGGGTAGGGGTGGGGGAGAGGATAAAATAACAGTTTAAGTAACAATAAACTGAATGTCTATTAGAAGCCACAGCAGAGTAAGAAAACTGAAACCTTCTCCAATGCCATGTTATCTGTGTGAATAGCAGAGCCCAGGGAAAAGTCTGTTGGGTCTGTCACTGTAGCAATTCCCATTGAGAATGCATGGTGTTTGCTACCCAGAGTCAACGAGATTTTGCATTGAGTCTGCTACCTTAGGATAAAAGGAAGATAAGGAAGAATGTTTTTGTTTCCCTAATCAGTAAGTCATCATCTTGCCGACAAAGGTCCAAATAGTCAAAGCTATGGTTTTTCCAGCAGCAATGTATAAAAGTGAGAGCTGGACCATAAAGAAGGCTGACCACCGAAGAATTGATACTTTTGAATCGTGGTGCTGGAGGAGACTCTCGAGAGTCCCCTGAACTGCAAGGAAATCAAACCTATGCATTCTGAAGGAAATCAACCCTGAGTGCTCACTGGAAGGACAGATCCTGAAGCTGAGGCTCCAATACTTTGGCCATCTCGTGAGAAGAGAAGACTCCCTGGAAAAGACCCTGATGTTAGCAAAGTGTAAAGGCAAGAGGAGAAGGGGACAACAGAGGATGAGGTGGTTGGGCAGTGACACAGAAGCTACCAACATGAATTTGACCCAACTCTGGGAGGCAGTGGAAAACAGGAGGACTTGGTGTGCTCTCGTCCATGGGGTCACTAAGAGTCGGACACAACTTAACGACTAAACAAAATCAGTAAGTTGTTTGCTACTGAAACAGAATTTGAGCATTTTGAATTAGCGTACTACTATTGGAATCTGCTGGGTTTAAAAAAAATCAATAAGAATATATAAACATCTGTGCTTATAAAAGGGCTGGGGTAATGTAAGCAAGCTTCCAGCGAGCCAGCACTGAGTCAGTGAGTACACCCATTGAATCTAGGGTGACATAGTTGTGGTGTCCTCCCAGGTCATTAATATTAATGTGCCATCTGCTTGGACCAATGAGAGTGCTGGAGAGGTGGAGTCACGAGATACAAGAATCTCTGCAGGGGGAGGGGGAGCGTAGATTGGAGTTTTTATTTATTTATTTATTTATTTATTTATTTATTGGACTTATATACCGCCCCATAGCGCTACAAGCACTCTCCGGGCGGTTTACAATTTTTTTAAAAAAAATAGCAGGCTACACATTGATTGATTGATTGATTGATTGATTGATTGATTGATTGATTGATTGATTTGTAATCCGCCCATCTGGTAGATTCTACCACTTTTAGAGTTTGAGATTGGGGAGAGTTTGGAAGTTTGGGGTGGATAGAGGAAGAGTTGGCGGTTGAGGGTGGATGAAGTGGGATGTTTGGTTAAGAGTTAAAGACATTGATTGTACCTTCATCACCTGTAATAATAAACAACTTCTATTTGGTTCTATTTAAAATGACACATGGCCTGGACCTCTGTGATCAATAATACATAATGTTGATATAATCTACTGGTTGCAGTGACACAACATGTATCTTGTGCCCTTTGATTGGTGAAACAACCAAGGGACAGACGGGAACGTGACAATATTACACTAAGCAACATGATTTTGGCTAGTGGATTTACTCTTGCTGAAACTAACAACGGATTTAGTCCAATAACCTTTTGCCAAAGGAGAGATGTACTGGTCACTTGGTACAGGCCATTAACTTTCATGCAGTTAGTTAACATATCCCAATGCTTTCAGATATGAGACAAATATGATATTAAGTCCAACTATCAAAATGCCAGAAATTAGGGTTTATT